TATATATTTTTTATTGGTTTCAGAAAGGAAGGGAGAAGGAGCGAGAGAGATAGAAACATCAATGATTAGAGGGAGTCATTGATTGGCTGCCTCCTGCACCCCCCCTATTGGGGATCGAGCCCACAACCCGGGCATGTGCCCTTGACTGGAATCGAACCCGGGACCCTTCAGTCCGCAGGCCGACGCTCTATCCACTGAGCCAAACCAGCCAGGGCGATCCAGTGATTCTTAACCATCTCTGGTCATAAGGGTCCCCAGGTTACTTGATAAAACGTGTGTCTAATCAGGTACCCGGGTGATTTGCAGGAGGGCCTTGGATACTTTTTGGAAAAAGCCAAAAAAAACAAAAAAACACACAACAGAATTCTTGTCTTGACTTATTTGGTTAAGCCCTGGGCTTGTCACCTGGTGACAGCAGCTTCAGCTATGTGAAAGTTCACGCCGGATACATAATTCTTAATTCTGACAGTTCCCAACATTCATGGAAACAAAAACTTTCACAGAAGCTTCTATACAGTTGTGTCGCCACATGCAATGCCAAGGGCGATTCCAAATTCCCACAAGTCAGGCAAGTCTCCGGCCAAGAGAAAAACAGACAGCACTCAGAGAATTCAAGGAGAATTCTTTGGGTGGATTCTTTTTGCTTTAACATACAAAATTTTATTTTAGAAATGTATTATGTCTATGGCCAGCAATTCCACTCTCAGATATTTCTCCTAGAGAAACCAAAACACTTGTGCAAAAATATTTATAGCAGTTTTATTCACAATAACCCAATGCTGGAAATCACCTAAATGTCTGTCAACGGGTGAACGGACAAATACAATGAAGTATATTCACACAATGGATGACTTCTCAGACTAAAATTAAAACAAAAACATACATGTGCCCTGGCCGGTGTGGCTCAATTGGTTGGGTGTTGTCTCATGCACACACACACACACACACACACACATATTAGAGTTCCAATAATATTATACATATGGAATTCTAGTTCTATGGCATCTAGGTCCTTAAAATCTGTTCCTAAGAGAACATCTAATTGTAATTGCAGGGCTCTTTTATTCCTGGACAACCCTTCTTTGTTTGCAAGTGTCAGTCATAGTGATTTGCACTTGACATAATTTAATAACAGTTTGCTATGATAATGACCAGGCTTTCTCTCCCTCTCCCAGATCCACCAAAGAGGGAAAGAGACAGCTGATGAAATCCCTGGCCAGGCAGCATTTAAATTATTACTGTCCTTTTAAAGTCACTGTGTGGTTTGAAGATTCTTTTAGACATTTCCCTTCAAGGAACAAAGGCTTTTCTATCAAAAATACTGAGACCACCAGGACTTCAGAGCGATCTCAAGCAAAGCCAGTTAGGAATCTCTAAAGACCTCTGCAGATAGAAGCTCGGTGGGAAAATTCCTGGAGAGAGCTAGAGAAGCTGGAGGATGCAGGCTTCCCAGGCAGCTGCAGAGCCGGGGAAAGGTTTTTCCTCCTTGCTCAGGAGCTAACACTTTTAACTAAGCGGGGCACCGTGAATGCGGCTCAGTCGGGTGGTACTTTTGATCCCAGTTATTCCTGTATTGGGCATTCTGTGATTTCCTCATTCCATTTTCTTACTTAAAATTGAAAAGCAAAATTGTAACCAGCAGAGGGCAGAAGATATTGCATTTCAAAGTGCTGAAAGTAGTATTCCAGGCACTAACTCAATCTCCCCAAGCAAACTAGCAAGGTGGAAATGCATGGTTATGCAATGTAACTTTTCTACGTCTCCCGATGGTGCCTTTTCATGCTGAACACAGTCCCTTTGTCAGACTTCCTCTCTCTCTAGAGCAGAGGTTCTCAACCTGTGGGTCGCGACCCCTTTGGTGGTCGAATGACCTTTTCACAGGGGTCGCCTAAGACCATCCTGCATATCAGATATTCACATTACGATTCATAACAGTAGCAACATTACAGTTATGAAGTAGCAACGAAAATAATTTTATGGCTGGGTCACAACATGAGGAACTGTATTTAAAGGGCCAGAAGTTTGAGAACCGCTGCTCTAGAGCCTCTGCAGGATTCAGGGCGCAGCGTTTTCCATAAACATCCAAAAGTTGTTGTGGTTTGGTGTGGCAGACACCTCCGATTGCTGTTACAGCACCCAGACCTGCATGCTTCCCTGAGAACTAGAGCCCAATTAATTGGTCAAGAGCAGGGAGACATTGCGGACTCACACATAAGAGTCCCTAATGCTGTTCACTCACAGGATGAGTTATGATTGGCCTAAAGCAATGTATCCATTGGGATAAGGCTAGCTTCCATAACAGACAGCCCCCCAAACCTTCATGAATTAACAAAAGAAAAATTCATTCCTCATTCATACAGGCAATGTTCTCTTTGGCAATTCATAGATGTCTTGCATTCTGATTCTGTCATCTTCCTTGGTCTTTGAGTACTTAGCTCCCGG